CTCTGCTACTGCCCTGCCTGCCCCTGACCCCTCAGGTGACGGAAGTGGCCCTCAGAAGCGGTCCTTCAGGAGTCTGATCTCTTCCCTGCTGTCTTCAGATGCTTTACCCTTCAGAGGCTAGCTCAGAGGCCCTCGGCCACCCACCAGTCAGAAGTCTGGCCCACCCCTTTGCAAAAGCCCCATCCCCAGGACCCTAGTTCTGCCTCTACTCCTACCCTCAGGATCCCTAGGCCTGCCCCTCCATTCCTTTCTTTTCAACATCGCCAGGTTCTTGTCTATAATACTCTCCTGGGAATGGGGGTAGGGTGGGCATTGTTGTACCCTGGTCCCCTTTTCCACCACTCCACTGCTGGGAAAACTGAGGCCTGAGCAGATTTTCTCTTTGAGGCTGTGGGGAAGCCCACTCTCCATCTGCTAGAGAGGCCCAGAAGGCTGGAAGCCCTCCAAGGGGCATCTCTATGTTTAGGTTCAATTGCTGGGATCTTGAATGAGGCCTCCAGCTTCCCTCTTGTTGTTGTTTTTTCTTTTTTCCCCCAGCTCTCCATAGCAAGCTAAGCCTCTCTACCCCAGCTAGACATCCCAGACTCCAGTCCTCAGTCCAAGTGCTGCCTGTTCAGCTGACTTGGGCTGCAATCCCAGCTTTACCACTCACTAGTCGCCTCTCTACCCCAGCTAGACATCCCAGACTCCAGTCCGCAGTCCAAGTGCTGCCTGTTCAGCTGACTTGGGCTGCAATCCCAGCTTTACCACTCACTAGTTGAGTGGATTTGGGAGGTCACTCTACCTCTCTGTGCCTCAATTTCTGTATACATAAAGTGGTACTGAGGGTACCCACCTCACAGGGTTAACCTCATAGGGTTGTTTGAGGATGCAGTGATATAATGCAAATAAAGATCTCAGCTTGGAGACTGGCACATGGTCAGCACCTCTATTCCCTGAAGGTCACTTCTGCAGACCTGGCCCTGCTGTACTGTTCTCCATTTTTGCATGAGATGGATCAACTCAGAGAGGTAGTATGTGTAATAGTTCAGAGTACACAGTCTGGAGCCAAACTGCCCAGGTAGGAAGCCCAGCTCTGCCATTTTACCAGCTGTCCAGCCTGGGCAAGTTACTCAACCTGTGTACCTCAGTCTTCTCAACTGCAACAAAAGAACAGGACTAGTACTTAAAGCAGGGTCCAGCACCTAGTAAGCACTAGCGGTGAATTAGCTAGTACTACAAGACCTGCGTCCTTCCATGCAGTCTCAGGAGCCATCTAGGAAATTTTCTGACCAGGATCCCTAGGCCTGCTTACTCCTACAGAGGAGCTCTCAGAGGAAACTCCCCACTTAGGAGTACTGCCCCTTCATGAAACTGTTATTTCCAAGAGTTTCTAGCTGTTTCTGAGTTTCCCGGAGGCTAGAAGAAGGGGATGACATGCAGTGGGGGCTTGCCGAGAAGTTGAATATGAGATGATCAAAACCGTATGGTGTTGGCTCTCACCAAACCCTCAACCATGCAGCAGAGACAGCCCCAGCTGTCTTGAGAACTGGATGTGCTCCAGGTGGGAGGAGGGCACAGTGGGAAAGGGCCATGTCTGATTTCATTTTTTGTTAATCAAATGTGTATTGGGGCTTATTCTGTGCCAGCCCCTGGGCAGAGCAATGTTGGCAATGGAGATGGACAAGGCCCATTCCCTTAGCTCTCTTAGCGGACAGTTAGGATGCGAAGAATTTTGGCTGAAAAAGGGTAGGAGCTCCCTGAACAGGTACTTTTTTTTGTTTTCCTTTTTGTCTTTTTTCGTGTCCGGCAACGGCTCGCAACCCTCAGTGTTGTGCCCGTACCGGACCGGGACCGGCCACGGGATCGCAACCCTCGGCGTTGCTCCCGCACCTCGCTCAGCCAGTGAGCGGCCGGTCTGTATGTGGGATCCGAACCCTCGGGCGGGAGCGCTACCGCGCTTCCAAACAAGCGACAGGGCGCAGCGCCA